GAGTATAGTACAAAAACGATCCATCCCCCCAGAGGTCCATTTTAGAGGGATAAAGGTACCCTAAGGCGCAACATTAGTGATAAGAAATGTTTATACATCCTCATACCATTCATCCTTCGACACGTGTTCACCTTGGCATTGGGTAAACCATTTAATCATTCAGACATAATCCACATTCATCACAAACGGAACGAACGTTTTTTTTCCAAATTTATTGGGGTTGCAAATTCACGTCAACCAAGACACTCGTTAAGACGAGTTAAACGAGCCCAAACTCGATGGGGTTGCGTCATTTTATTACGGAGTTTTTTATTGCAACTCCATCATCAGATCCTGGTTACGAGGAGGAAAGGGATTGTTAGTAATGAGGTATAATAGCCCCGTTGCTAGCAATTGACTCTCTCAAGTTGACCTCCACGCGGTTCCCCCTAGAAACCATCATGGTTAATTCTTGTCGAATTCATCATGGTGGGCCAACTGACCTGCATTCATTCTCACCTATCGTCTTTCACTGGTGCCTCGTCGGTGTATACCAATAGCACTTACCATTCCATTTTCATCTATTAAAAAAAAGACACGGGTTACCATTTAGTATCAAATTACTCGTCAAGACGAATTAAACGAGCCTAAACTCGATAGGGTTGCGTCGTTTAATTACGGAGTTCTTATGCCCACCTTGCAGCTCCATCATCAGACCCTGGTTAAAATCTAGTATCAAATTACTCGTCAAGAGGAATTAAACGAGCCCAAATTCAACGAGGTTGCGTCGTTTAATTATGGAGTTTCTATGGCCACCTTGCAACTTCATCATCAGACCCTGGTTACCATTTAGTATCAAAGTACTCGTTAAGACGAATTAAACGAGCCCAAACTCGATGGGGTTGCGTCGTTTAATTACGGAGTTTCTATGGCCACCTTGCAGCTCCATCATCAGACCCTGGTTACCATCTAGTATCAAAGTACTTGTCAAGACGAATAAAATGAGCCCAAACTCACTGGGGTTGCATCGTTTAATAACGAATTTCCTATGTCATATTAATATTGCATTGTCATTTGATTTGTACTTGTCAGAGTCCAGTTAGAACAAGCTAGGTCACAATTAAAATCGAAAAACAGAAATACACGTAGTCGCTTATTAATCACAATAACATGCCAACACAATGTAGATAGATCTCTAGCCGCAGGGTTGCCATTAAAATAATTAATTGTTACTCATATTTTAAATATTTTTTCTCCAAACCTATAGAACTTTCTTCATTATACTCAAGCACAAATTTGTATCAATTTCTCTACATTTTGCCATGTAACCACAAGGAGAACAACGAAAAAATACTATACTAATTATATAACGCTGTCTGATTTACAGATACCACAAATGTAGAATAAAAAAATAAATAAAAAAAATATAAAAAAAATAAGTAAACTTCTCCAAAGCTTTTTGACTTATTTTGAAACATTTTACGAAGATAATTTTGTTTCGCAAACAATTAATTTTTATCCATAATTGCGACAAAAGTACCCAATCTGGCAACGCTGTATCTAGAAATTTCAGATGAACGGGTAAAACAGATTTAGTAGTGCACTAAATAGAAACAGTGCCATCTGTGAATTGATGTGTACAAACTTGTAGCACGACCGCGTTAACTAAACAATTCTAATTAGATCGAAGCACAATAGTTTCCTGGTAGAAATAAACCAATTTTTGAATTTTAATATAACTAATGAGTTTTGGTTTAGGAATTTATTTTATTCATTTTTACGTTTTTAGATTTTTAAAATAGAAGTATACATATTTTATAAATAATTTTGTTTGTTTTCTGAAACTTACGGGAGCATTATTAGTAAATCGCGACTAGTATCGCCATCTATTAAAAATTTTTCCGCGCGGCCATTTTTTTTTCGTCATCGTGTCCCCCTGCCCTGACAATGGACAGGTACAATACAAATACAATTCAGGTGTAAAGCTACTATTCTGGCTATTTATTAATTTAGTAATTTCTGATATTTTGATTTGTCTACACGTGATTCAATTGTGTGGCGTTTTACTGGCCATCATTATATGTCTATTGTATTTTTTTATTATGTTTTACATTCTGACAATCTTTGTTTTCCTACTGATAAAGACGTGATAAAAGAGAGCTACATTTTTCAGAGGGAAACTTTGTACAAAAGTCGTTTGCTTGGGTAACTCTGTCCCATTCGTGTTTCAACTGTGAAGCAGTTGTGTTTGCATGGCTGTGTTTCGGTTTGAAGGGTGGGATATGGCGGTGCCGTCTGTAAATAAACATTGTATATATACTGTAAATAATAATGCATATTCATCTCATAGCCACTTATCAACACCATTACTTTCTTTTCCATCAAGTAGGTTAATTAAATTGTACATAGATATTTCACCTCTTTTTTTCCTTCGGACTAGTTGTACAGACATAACAGCGACGTTTATTTCTTACATTCATTTCTGCTGTCATTCTCTCCATCTCAATCGCTCGCTTCCTCCGAACAACTACATGGCAGTGAATTTACAGGGTACAGAGGAATAACACCGGAGTCCTCGGGAATGGCAACGCATGGGGATACCCCATGGGTGAAACAGTATACTCTGTTATGTCCATGGTACTGCTCATGTCTATAGGCGACGGTTACCATTTTCCATCAGGCGGGCCGTCAGCTTGTTTGCCATTCTAAGTTGTATAAAAAATATATTATCCAGTATTTTAATTATTTACCCGATTCTTTTAAGTTGGACAGCAAACATAAGTTTGCGCTGTCTATAATTTTATTGTAAATGTATCATACCTGAATTTATGGCGTTCCATGTCTCTTTCAGGCAAATAGGAAATTTGCATCCATGGTCAATCTTGAAGATGTTCAATTAAAAGGCGATAGAGTACTGTGACCATGTGGCCACCCCTTCCTTTCCCGTGGATGTCGTAAAAGGCGACTAAGGGAAGGCGAGTCCTTCATGGTCAGACCGAAAAAATTCCCTCTTAAAAAAAACATCTCCAAAGACAACTGGAGTTGCCAATCCGCCTGCCAGCGTGGCAACTACTGACATAACCCTTTAGGGAGGCTTGTGTTCAGCAGTGGACAGTTAAAGGCTGATATGTTGATAATAATTGGCAGAAATTTCAATTAAAACTGAATCGTTCTAACTCAAACAATGACACAAATATATTTTTAGGAGATGCACACCATATCATTCTCAACTAAATCTTTAGGTAATACAAGTACATGGAAATAAAACAAAAACTGAGCGGTAAAAATCAATATATATTATATATTCCATTAAAAAAATAAAGGTACATTTCTAGCAATTCAATACACAAAACATACAATCGTTAGAGTACACTAGGGGGCTTGTATACATTACTGCGGGCAACGCACCGCGAACCAGCGGATTGCATCAATCCATACATATAATAGAATCCTTCTATTAGCAATAAAGATTCCAAAAAATCATCTCCACTCACCCTCAAACACCATTATTTGAGGGGGGGGGGGATTGTTAGTAATGCGGACTAGCAATGGGACTGGATTGCTAGCAATATACTTTAACCAGGTCGACCTTCACATGTTTACCCACACACAGGCAACTGGAAACAATCGTGCTAAATTCCAAGTGTATTCATCACGTTGAACTAACTGACCTGCCTGAGGGAAAGGGATTGTTAGTAATGGAGACTGAGAATCCTATTGCTAGCAATATACCCAACCAGGTCGACCTCCTCGCGATTCCCGCTGGAAACTATCAACTAATTCGTTGTGTACTGGCTCTGACGTCACCGCTTTCAATACTAATATTTTATTTATAGTTATTGTTTTTTATACAACTTAGAATGGCACACAAGCTGACGGCCCACCTGATGGAAAGTGGTAACCATCGCCTATAGACATGAGCAGTACCATGGACATAACAGAGTGTACTGTTTCACCCATGATACCCCCCATGCGTTGCCATTCCTGAGGACTCAGGTGTTATTCCTCTGTACCCAGTAAATTCACTGCCAAATCCCACCCTTCAAACCGAAACACAACCATGCAAACACAACTGCTTCACGGTTGAAACACGAATGGGACAGAGGTGCCCAAGCAATCGACTTTTGTACAAAGTCAAATAAAAAAGAATTCGAACTTGTGTTAATGGGGACCGTCGTTTAACGGTCAGACAGGTGGCTGAAGAGCTTAATTTGGGCAAAACCGTGGTCCACGAAATTCTAAGAAACGAACTTCAAATGAAAAAAATTTGCGCCAAGATCGTTCCGTGAGTTTTTGATTATAAAAATTCCATTACGGTGACCGAACACCCCCTATTCGCCGGATTTGGCCCCGTGTGACTTCTTCTTGTTCCCATAAAACCAAATTGGTACTTCGGGGGCGGCATTTGGGGGACATAAATGAGATAAAAAAAAGCTACGACGGGGCAGCTGAGAAACCTACAACCAGAGTTGACTTTCAAGGAGCCTTCTCACAGTGGAAACGGCGTTGGCACAAGTGCATTATGTCACAGGGGGAGTACTTTGAAGGGGATAAAATTGATTTACCTGAATAATTGTAAAATAAAATTTTTAAAAAACTTTTATACGTACTTTCCGGACAAACCTCGTACGCGTTGTAGGTATCCCGCGTCGTGTGGGTCGTAAAATTTCAAATGCATTGCGCGGCGTCCAAACTAAGAAACGTTAGTTGTATGGCTGTAAAGCATTTCCGGTGGGAAAATAATCTGCCATCATTCGTTTTTTTTTTATACAACTTAGAATGGCAAACAAGTTGAAGGCCCACCTGATGGAAAGTGGTAACCGTCGCCTATACACATGAGCAGTAGCATGGACATAACAGAGTATACTATTTCGCCCATGATACCGCCCATGTGTTGCCATTTCTGAGGACTCAGGTGTTATTCCTCTGTACCCAGTAAATTCACAACCTGTGCCTTCCATCCTGTATAAAATTGTATGATAATCGATTGTGTGTAGGTAGATATAAAATAGGCAATAACGTACTTGATATATAAGAGATTTTATTATTATTATTACAATGTATTTGCATACAAAAAATATAACATACAATTGCCATAAAAAACTATACACCACTCGTATATACTTGGTCAGAAACCCCCCTTGAATTCAAAACTATCATAATACATTCTCGTGGGACTTTCTCACCAGCCCCCATAGAGAAGTAGCGAATAACATTATCGGTAGACACGCTTTCGCTGCTGCATGCACATGAGATGAACTAGACAGCGGTATTCGACGTTCTATTCGTTCACACGTGTGAGGCAACGAACAGGTCACTATCGATCGATGCCTATCGACTTGTCTATGGGGGAATGTTCATCACTGGTCAAGAATCACCCTACGCACGAGGCATTTGAAAATAACACCCCATTAACTCTTTAAACATACCAGTCTTATAATTTTAACTTTACGATGAGTATTTACTCATACTAGTGTACATACTGCGGCTTGGCTCGCTACATTAACAGTTACAGTACAAAAAGGGCGTAAGACATAGCGAGATATAGGACTATTCAGACCTCTTCCACCTTGTGGGACCTTAGACACACTAATTTCACTAGTATCAATGTATTTGAGACCTTAATACATGGAGCTTTGTTTAAAATTAAATGTTACCGATTTGACCTGCGGGTCTACCATGAAATGAAATTCCGAAATTTCGGACTCAATTTCGTGTTTTTGTTTATACCAAAATCGGACCAATAAATGGAGTTTAACATTTTGTTCTTCATACATCCTATCATAAAAGTCCAAAGGAACAATATTTTAACATTTTTAATATTTCCAAACGGCATGTATTATGTAATTTTAACATCAAATTTGTGTTTCGTTTGGCTCCGAAATTTCGGAAAACACTTCATGGTAGGCCCTCTGTTTACCCATTGAGGCTGGCAGCGTCTCGTGTCGGCCGTTTGGGTATGAAGGAGACAGTCATCAGATCGTCATCCTCTTGAAGGAGACAACCCTCGTTTGACTTATTTCGATAGAATAATCTGGAAAAATAGGTATTCTTGTTTTTATTTACACATAAAAAAAGATATATTTATATATATATAAATATATATATATATATATATATGCAAGCAGGGTTTGAAAGGGTATGGGATGTACGGATCAAGGGTTGCATAACAGAGAAAACCTTAGCTCAACATCAGAAGGTTTTCTCTTCATTACCTTGAAAAGGCTTATGATAGAATGGAGAAAAACTGTGGTCAACACTGGCAATGATGTAGCCATTTGATACGGGCATTCAAATCTTTATATAAGGATTAAATTGTGTCAGAATAAATGAAGAACAGACTGGTTTGCATTGAACAGTGTTTTATTTTATTATTCCTTCTATGTAATTCCTATGTTCTTAGCTTGACCGACTTGTAGGATTATATACAATGAAGACTGTTTAAGACTCTTTATAACGACCAAACTTTTTATTAAGTATGAATTAACAATTGTGACTATAATGAAGAACATGAATCAATTGAAAATAAATGCTTAAATCTATTATAATTTTATATTTCACAATCGCTGAATTAAGCACAAGCATTCGATTCACAGCCTCACTGTTTTATTACACGTGTAACTTTGAAATAATTATTTGATTTACTTTTTTTATTTCCTGTTTTCAATTACTTATAATTTATTTATTTATTTCTTTTAAGTAAATGCTTCATTTTTATTTCACGAATAACCAATTTGATTTCCTATTCAATATTAAAGATTTTTTTTATGATTTGATTAAAGACGATCTATAGAATGACGATGATTTATAGAATGATCAAACTGACTTCAATTCCTATACAAGCGGTATAGTATCAAACAAAAAATGAAAAAAAAAAAAAACAAACGACAAAACAAATGAAACAATGCAAAACAAAACTCAAAATGCAATGACATCAGCTGTGTGTGGACAAATTATATTTGCATAAAAGCGAGCAACCATATGATTTACAGTTTTTATTTTATTATTCCTTCTATGTAACTTGTTCTACGTTCTTCTCGGATTATATACAGTCTTTAAAAAAAATTAAGTTCATCATTAAGAACACTGAATCAATTGATTTTTTAAATCTATTAGATTTTATATATCGTTTAAGCACAAGCATTCGATTCACAGCCTCACTGTTTTATTACACGTGTAACTTTGAAATAATTATTTGATTTACTTTTTTATTTCCTGTTTTCAATTACTTATATTTATTTATTTATTTCTTTTAAGTAAATGCTTCATTTTTATTTCACGAATAATCAATTTGATTTCTATTCTAAAGTAACGTTTATATAGATAGATCTATAGATTGATATGATTTATAGAATGATACTGATTATTCCTATACAAGCATCACAAATTACAAACGAAAAACAAATGAAACAATAAAACTCAAAATGCAATGACAACTGTGTGTATATATATATATATATATATATATATATATATATTATATTCCCACTAATATTTATATATATATTTTATATATATATTTTATATATATATTTTATATATATATTATATATCTATATTTATTTATATATATATATATATATATATATAATCAACAAAAAAAAAAAAAAAAACAAAATATTTAAACCAACAATTTCCTTTCTTTCCTTCATGTGTTACATGAAGATATTGTTATACCTATATGTTATAATGCAATATGCTGTTGGTGTTCCTTAATAAATAAATAAATAAATATCAAAATTACACTACACTTCAGGAAGTCGGCCGTCTGCGTCATCATGCCACCGGCGGACGTACCCAAAACACGCAAAAGTAAAAAAAAAAAAAACTACACACCAAAACCGACTAGACCTTTATCAGGGCCGATTGCCACGAGTCTCTCTTCTTTCTACAGTAGAGGAGAAAGAGTTGTGAGTGATTTTCGCAAAGTAAAGCAGCCAGCATGGGATGTATGAGCATGTATGACAAATAATGTAAGATATTGTTTATTAACCTTGAATTAAAACTATCATTCTTTATATCTCTAAAAGTCTAACTGCGGTTGCCAACCCACTTGCCAAGCGTGGCAACTACTGGCTCCCCCTATCCTCATTAGGCTTATGTCCAACAGTGGGCAGTTAATGGCATAAATAATAATATAAAGACTGTTTCATTAACTATTATTTTAGTTGCGTTTATTTGAAAGAGACATAGCACACTAACTGAATGTTACATCTCTTTCTTTTGCTGCATTCTTGATTTGAAAGAAAGAGACAGCATACCAATAGAATAAGATATAAACAATCTGTATTAACTCGTTTACAAGCTCTTTGAAATCACTAGGTTAGAAGAATAGAAGAGGTATCGAAATGCGTACTTGGTGAGCGGGGAGGCGCCGCGGTCGATCGGCTCTATCCTCTCGTCGAGGCCCCTGTGGACCGACACAGAGTCCAGGTCCTCCAGGTGGATGGATTGGAGGTACTCCGGGGTCCGGAGTTGTTCCGCTGTTTGTTTTTTGAAGCTAAAAATAAGAAATAAATGTTATTGGATATATTTGGCCGTGTGGTCCCGGCATAGAATAGTCCACCACTTCCTTTCCAGTAGGTGTCATAAAAGGCGACTAAGGGAGGGCGAGGGATGGGCAACGTCCCTCTTAAAACATCTCTAAAGCCTAACTGCGGTTGCCAATCTGCCTGACAAGCTTTAGCTACTGGCGAGACTTCCCATGGGGGAGGCTTATGTTCAGCAGTGGACAGTTAAAGGCTGGTATGATGATGCGGATGAAGGTAACGTCCATTCGACGATTATTCGAAGTGATGCCGATTCGATCACGTCCAATCATCCTGCTGAATGTGTTCCTCCACTATGCAGTATTGGCCACTGCAGTATGTATAACCATACCATATATAAAACATATTATTGTCTACCAACTTCAAAAAGAAAGTGATTCTCGATTTATTTGTATTTTTTTTGTATTTATTACCTCACAACTCTATTAGTTATAAAAGGATTTGAAAAATTCTTTTTTTTTCTATTTAAAATACGAATTTTTTTTTTATACAACTTAGAATGGCAAACAAGCTGACGGTCCACCTGATGGAGAGTGATAACCGTCGCCTATACACATGAGCAGTAGGACATAACAGAGTACTGTTTCGCCCATGATAACCCCCATGCGTTGCCACTCCTGAGGACTCGGATGTTATTCCTCTGTACCCAGTAAATTCACGTCATATCCCACCATTCAAACCGAAACACAGCCATGCAAACACAACTGCTTCACAGTTGAAACACGAATAGGACAGAGGTACCCAAGCAATCGACTTTTGTACAAAGTCTCAATCTGGTATCTCTGGTATATATTTTTATCTATAATACTTACTAAGAGATTGGTCGCATTGAAACTTTATTTAAATCGGTTGAGCAATTTTTAGCTCTGTCACAATTGAACTTGATTTTTTTGTGTTTTAATATCTTTAATTATCCACAATATACAAGTAGTCTATGTCCGAAATTGGGGTAACGTTATTTCGTTCTTTCGACTAATTTCGAAGAAGTTTGCATGAGAAAATATGTATGTACTTATTTATTTTTATTTATTCATTAGTACAAATATGTGTGCATGGCGGACTTAACGCTAAAAGAATTCTCTCCCAGTCAACCATAGGGATGTGTCAGAATACTCGAATGAGGTACTACCAATCACTGATATACATACATACTAAAATTACATAATATATAAACGAATAAATATATATGAATAACAAATATACTTAGACATATATGATATATACTATATTATACACGAAATTGGGAATAATATAAAGCACTTACTGCTCGGATAAAGATAAAAAGTGAGCGTGAACGCTTTTTTTGAAAGACTTACGTTTTAAGTAACAAACTGGAGCACACGACTGACACAGAGCTCATTGCCATCGCCGCCGACGCCATCCACGGCTGGAAAATAAACACAAACTCACATACAATAATTGTCTGCATATTATAAACATAGGAACGTTACATAATGTTCGCAGACAGTTCAGCTATTTTACGCATATTTTTATAATGGTCTTATATTAAATAGATAGAGCATCAAGCCTCAAAAAACACGTTAACTTTTTGTCAGCTAATTGTCAAATTAGCTGTCTCGTTTTTTTATTAGTATTGTATATACTTACGCATAAAATATATCTTGACGTATTATTTAATAATTAAAATGAGTATTTACGCATTAAAAAGATGCAAAAATTAGAAGACAAAATAGAAATATAGAAGTTATAAAAGAATCACTTATAACTATTTATCACGCAAAAGTGTATGAAAAAGTTGACTCGTTTTTCTCGAAGCATTTCAATGGAGACAATCTATCTATATAATCTAAAAATTTGTATAAAAAAAAATGTAAAAAGGACCTAGTATCGTGCCCTGTGGTACACCCATCTTCATAAGGAAACTGGACAAAACTATTCGATTTCTTAGTATATATGTACATTAGCACAAGCATTAGACTTTCAAATTGGATACGTTTACTTAAGTATTGAAGGACAGATGAGAGACGATGACGGTAAAGAAGACGTGACATGGTCGTACGCTGCTATGTATAAAAGAAGTACTTATCGGGTTTGATACTTGAATAGGCTAATTTTGGAAACAATTTTTTCAAAATTTACTCTAGTATGTCTTTTATTATTGTTTGCTGTCTCGTTTCCTATAAAACAATATAGTCGCCGTGTGTGCTCCGGCATAGAATAGGCCACCCCTTCCTTTTCTCGTTAGGTATCATAAGTGGCAATTAAAGGAGGGCGAGAAATGGGCAGCAGCGTCCCTTTTAAAACATCTCCAAAGTCTAACTGCGGTTGTCAAACCGCCTGCCAAGCGTGGCAATTACTGGCAAAACTGCCCTCATGAGGAAGACTTATGTCCAGCAGCGCATAGTTACCGGCTGAAATAATTTTTATTTAATTCTTTATTGTACACACTAGTTTTAAAAATAAGACGAGAGGTAATCAAACGTACAAAGGCGAGCTTAACTCTGATAGAGTTTTCTTCCAGCAACACCCAAAGTGGAAAGGAGCATCAATGTCCGCGGATACAGCAGTGTACAGTATTGTGACAATTTTTAAACAGGCAAAATTAAATTAATTATATTATATTTAATCGTACAAATACATATACATAAATACATACCTACATCTATAGATAAATAAATATATGTTCATAGAGATAGAAGATGCTCTTTAAGTCTACTCTTAAAAATATTTAGGGATTGACTCTGACGGACAGATATGGAAAGAGAATACCACAATCTAGCAGCATGGACGGTAAAAGATCCACTATAGCGCGTAGATGAGTGTGAAGGGATATATAATAATAATAATATAGTTTAAAAAGCATCGAGTTAAAGTGACTTACTAGAGGAAGAACGTGCAAGTTTGTGCAAAGGTGCATGGGTCCCTGGTTTGTAAATACTGTTACAAGGCAAGTGACTGGTGCGCTGTGTTCCAGTTTGAAGGACATTACAGAGTGGTACAAGTGAAGGTGTCCACGTGGTCAGTGCTCACCTGCAGCTGCAAGCCAAACGCGGCCAGCGCGCCGCTGGCGAGCGGGATGCCGAGCAGGTTGTAGACGGACGCGAACACGAAGTTCAGCCGCACGCGCCGCACCGTGCTGCGGGACAGCTGCAGGCACGCCACCACGTCCAGCAGGTCGTTCTGCAGGGGTCATCGTACAAACGGTTTCAGCCCACATATAACCAACTGTTCGCCTTTTGATTATTGTGCAGGACTTTAACAGTTTCGTTCATAAAAATTATAAAATTTATTCAACGCACGCACGCACGCACGCACGCACGCATACACAGTCTCCTTCTGGTATGTGATATGTGCTAAATATATTCATACCGAGTCTACCTATATGAGTACACTTTATTATTTAACAAAGTATAAAAGTTCCCGTTTTACTTTATATACCAGAGGGAGACTTTGTACAAAAGTCGTTTGCTTGGGTACCTCTATCCCATTCATGTTTCTACCGTGAAGCAGTTGTGTTTGCATGGCTGTGTTTCGGTTTGAAGGGTCACAACACCTGAGTCCTCAGGAATGGCAACGCATGGGAGGTATCAGGGGCGAAACAGTATACTCTGTTATGTCCATGGTACTGCTCATGTCTATAGGCGACGGTTATCACTTTCCATCAGAAGGGCCGTCAGCTTGTTTGCCATTCTAAGTGGTATAAAAAACAAAAATAAAAAAAATGAGAGTATGATATGTCCGTGGTATGAATATTGAACTCGGTGGTTTGGTTACCCGCATGAGCACGAGGTCGGCGGCCTCGACGGCGACGTCGGTGCCGCTGGCGATGGCGATGCCCACGTCCGCGCCCGCCAGCGCCGGGCTGTCGTTCACGCCGTCGCCCACCTGTGGCCGTGTGATCACTCATATTAATCGCTGATTCTTCAACTAGGACTCATGAGAAACTAGATAACGAAATATAGGGGACACACACATAACAGTCAAGTGTGAGCCATTTTTGACCGACTTGAAAAAGGAGATTTTCAATTCGGTTACATTTTTTCATGTTTATTATTTTACAACTGCATCTATTTATAAACTGATTTAGAAAATTTTCAAAAAGTTTATTTCCTAAATTATTAATCAAGAAATGAATTTAGAATGTAAAAAATATTTTTTTTTCATAGAATATTATGTTTTATTAGAATTTAAATAATTTAATATATTTTTTTTAAGTTTGCATGCCTAATTATGGGAAAATACATGGACTTATACCTATGGTATACCTATATACTTACCATATTTCTTGAAAATAAACATTTATTCATTCAAAAACATGGTAAATATGACAAATAGAGAGCCAATAAGTGTAAAGACGTGACGCTGCGACATAATATATTGCTATTAAAAGAGAAGGAGTGTAACAGCACATGATAGGAGATTCGCCATATGTATAACGCTTAGATAATATTGAGTAGCAATAATCAAGTCGAAAACATGAAAACTATTGGGCACAGATAGCGAATTAGGGGGGGGGGGGGATGAGAGGAAGGGGAGAGAGATTTTTTTTTATACAACTTAGAATGGCAAACAAGCTGACGGCCCACCTGATGGAAAGTGGTAACCGTCGCCTATAGACATGAGCTTTTTTTTTATAGGAGATAAAGGGAAAGAGAGACGGGAGTGAGAGGAGAAAGAGGAAGAGGGAGAAAAGGGAAGGGGAAGACAGAAATAGCAATAAGTAGTGAAAAGCTATATATATATATATATATATATATATATATATATATATATATATATATATATATATATATATATATATATATATATATATAGCTTTTCAGGTTCCATAAGACTATAACATCTCTCCCGTTCTAACTAATGATAATACGTTTACCAGAGTGAGACTTTGTACAAAAGTTGTTTGCTTGGGTACCTCTGTCCCGTTCGTGTTTTTACCGTGAAGCAGTTGTTTGCATGGCTGTGTTTCGGTTTGAAGGGTGCGATATAGCGTGAATTTACTGGGTACAGAGGAATAACACCTGAGTCCTCAAGAATGGCAACGCATGGGGGGTATTATGGGCGAAACAGTATACTCTGTTATGTCCATGGTACTGCTCATGTCTATAGGCGACGGTTACCACTTTCCATCAGGTGGGCCGTCAGCTTGTTTGCCATTCTAAGTTGTATAAAAAAAGTTATCCTAAGCATTCCTCCTACCGTAGAATACAATTTAATAATTTAACAATTTATTAATATAACTCACCATCGCCACCTTCTGTCCCTGTTCCTGGAGCTTCTTTATTTTGGCCACCTTGTGTGAGGGCAGCACTTCTGCGTACACTTTGTTTATCCCCACCTACAAGTTAAAATAACATCACAGTATAAAGGACAACTAGAGGAACACTTTAAACAAAAGTCGTTTGCTTGGCTACTCATGTCCCATTCGTGTTTCTGACGCAAAGCAGTTGTCTCAACGACTTTATAACCAAGCTACTATGGTTTCTAAGTTCTAATCCAATAGTAATAAAATAGTATTGGTCGTGTGGTTCCGGCCTATAGAATAGGCCACCCCTTCCTTTCCCGTGGCTGTCGTAAGAGGCGACTAAGGGAGGACGAGGGATGGGCAGCAGCATCCCTCTTAAAACATCACCAAAGTCTAACTTTTTTTTTATATCACTGAGGTGGCAAACAAGCATACGGCCCACCTGCTGGTAAGCGGTTACCGTAGCCTATGAACGCCTGCAATACCAGAGGTATTACGCGCGCGTTGCCGAACCTGAAGAAACCTCTTTACCCCCCTTTTGAAGAACTCTATGCTGTAGTCTCTTGGGAAAACCTCGGCAGGGAGCTCATTCCATAATCTAACTACAGTTACCAACCCGCCTGCCAAGCGTGGCAAGTACTGGCAAAACTCCCTTTATGGGAAAGACTTATGTCCAGCAGTGGACAGTTAAAGGCTGATATAATGATGAATGGCAGTTTACCTGTCTCGCAATTGCAACAGCTGTTTTCCGATTGTCCCCTGTGAGCAAGCACACCTGCAGACCCATCTTCTTGAGGCAGTACACCGCCAGGTGAGCTTCGGGCTTCACCTCGTCGGCTATACCCAGCGTGCATACTAATTGATCTGTCGAATAATAATATAAAGATTACACTTCGAGAAAACCAAAGTCAACTTTGTACAAAAGTCGATTGCTTGGGTACCTCTGGCACATTCGTGTTTCAATCAGTTGTTTGCATGGCTGTGTTTCGGTTTGAAGGGTGGGATATGGCATGAATTTACTGGGTACAGAGGAATAACACCTAAGTCCTCAGGAGTGGCAACGCATGGGTGGTATTATGGGCGAAACAATATACTCTGTTATGTCCATGGTACTGCTCATGTGTATAGGCGACGGTTACCATTTTCCATCAGGTGGACCGTCAGCTTGTATGCCAAGAATGGCAATGGCAAAGCTCTGGAAACCATTGTGTTGAATTCCAGGTGTATTCATCACTTGCCTTTTCATTCTCATCTATCATCCTTCAC